CACGTCCACGTCCATGTCCACGTCCATGTCCACGTCCACGTCCATGTCCACGTCCACGTCCACGTCCACGTCCACGACCACGTCCACGTCCACGTCCATGTCCACGTCTACGTCCACGTCCACGTCCCGTCCATGTCTCGGTCCACGTCCACGTCCACTTCCACGTCCATGGCCACGTCCACGTCCACGTCCACGTCCACGTCCACGTCCATGTCCACGTCCACGTCCACGTCCACGTCCACGTCCACGTCCATGTCCACGTCCACGTCTACGACCACGTCCACGACCAGGACCACGTCCACGTACACGACCACATCCACGACCACGTCCACATCCATTTCCATGTCCACGTCCAAGTCCTCCACGTCCACGGACACGTCCACGTCCACGACCACATCAAGATCCACGTCCACGACCACGTCCAAGTCCTCCACGTCCACGACCACGTCCACGTCCACGACCATGTCCACGTCCACGACCACGTCCACGTCCACGTGCACGTCCACGTCCATGTCCACGTCCACAACCATGTCCACGTCCATGTCCACGTCCACGTCCACGTCCACGTCCACGTCCATGTCCACGTCCACGTCCACGTCCACGTCCATGTCCACGTCCACCTCTACGTCCACATCCACGTCCACGTCCATGTCCACGTCCACGTCCAACTCCACGTCCACGTCCACGTCCAGTCCATGTCCATGTCCACGTCCATGTCCATGTCCACGTCCACGTCCACGTCCACGTCCACGTCCACGACCACGTCCACGTCCACGACCATGTCCACGTCCACGACCACGTCCACGTCCACGTGCACGTCCACGTCCATGTCCACGTCCACAACCATGTCCACGTCCATGTCCACGTCCACGTCCACGTCCACGTCCACGTCCATATCCACGTCCACGTCCACGTCCATGTCCACGTCCACCTCTACGTCCACGTCCACGTCCACGTCCACGTCCACGACCTCGTCCACCTCCACGTCCACGTCCACGTCCACGTCCAGTCCATGTCCATGTCCACGTCCATGTCCACGTCCACGTCCACGTCCACGTCCACGTCCATGTCCAAGTCCACGTCCACGTCCACGTCCACAACCATGTCAACGTCCACGTCCACGTCCACGTACATGTCCATGTCCACGTCCACGTCCACGTCCACGTCCACGTCCATGTCCACGTCCATGTCGACGTCCACGTCCACGTCCACGACCATGTCCACGTCCACGTCCACGTCCACGTCCCTGTGACGGCCACGTCCACGTCCATGTCCACGTCCACGTCCACGTCCACGTTCTCGTCCATGTCCACGTCCACGTCTATGTGCACGTCCATGTCCACTTCCATGTCCACGTCCACGTCTATGTCCACGACTATGTCCACATCCACGTCCACGACCACGTCCACGTCCACGTCCATGTCCACGTCCACGTCCACGTCTACGTCCATGTCCACGTCCACGTCCACGTCCACGTCCACGTCCACGTCCTCCACGTCCATGTCCACGTCCTCCACGTCCACGTCCACGATCACGTCTACGTCTACAACCACGACCACGTCCATGTCCACGTCCACGTCCACGACCACGTCCACGTCCCGTCCACATCCACGTCCACGTCCAAGTCCACGTCGTGGATGACCACGTCCACGTCTACGACCACATCCACAACCAGGACCACGTCCACGTCCACGTCCACGACCTCGTCCACGTCCACGTCTATGTCCACGTCCAAGTCCTCCACGTCAATGACCACGTCCACGTCCACGTCCACGTCAACATCCACGTCCACGACCACATCCACGTCCATGTCCATGTGCACGTCCACGTTCACGTCCACATCCACAACCATGTCCACGTCCATGACCACGTCCACGTCCACGTCTATGTCCACGTTCACGTCCACGTCCACGTTCACGTCCACGACCATGTCCACGTCCACGTCCACGTCCATGTCCACGTCCACGTCCACGTCAACGTCCACGTCCACGTCCACGTCCACGTCCACGTCCACGTCCATGTCCACGTCAACGTCCACGTCCACGTCCACGTCCATGTCCACGTCCACGTCCACGTCCACGTCCACGACCTCGTCCACGTCCACGCCCATGTCCACGTCCAAGTCCTCCACGTCCACGACCACGTCCACGTCCACGTCAACATCCATGTCCACGACCACATCCACGTCCATGTCCATGTGCACGTCCACGTTCACGTCCACGTCCACGACCATGTCCACGTCCACGACCACGTCCACATCCACGTCCACGTCTATGTCCACGTCCACGTCCACGTCCACATCCACGTCCACGACCATGTCCATGTCCACGTCTACGTCTACGTCCACGTCCACGTCCACGTCCACGTCCATGTCCACGTCCACGTCCACGTCCATGTCCACGTCCACGTCCACGTCCACGTCCACGTCCATGTCCATGTCCACGTCCAAGTCCGCGTCTACGTCCACGTCCACGATCATGTCCACGTCCACGTCCACGTCCACGTCCATGTCCACGTCCAAGTCCTCCACGTCCACGTCCATCTCCACGTCCACATCCACGTCAACGTCCACGTCCACGTCCACGTCCATGTCCACGTCCACGTCCACGTCCACGTCCACGTCCATTTCCACGTCCTTGTCCACGTCCACGTCCATGTCCACGTCCATGTCTACGTCCATGTCCACGTCCACGTCCACGTCCACGTCCATGTCCACGTCCACGTCCACGTCCACTTCCACGTCCATGTCCACGTCCATGTCCATGCCACGTCCATGTCCACATCCATGTCCACGTCCACGTCCACGTCTACGTCCACGTCAATGTCCACGTCCACGTCCACGTCCACGTCCACGTCCATGTCCACGTCCACGTCCACGTCCACGTCCATGTCCACGTCCATGTCCACGTCCACGTCCATGTCCACGTCCATGTCCACGTCCATGTCCACGTCCACGTCCACGTCCACGTCCATGTCCACGTCCACCTCCACGTCCATGTCCACGTCCATATCCACGTCCACGTCTATGTCCACGTCCACGTCCACGTCCACGTCCACGTCCAAGTCCACGTCCACGTCCACGTCCACGATCATGTCCACGTCCACGTCCACGTCCACGTCCATGTCCACGTCCAAGTCCTCCACGTCCACGTCCATCTCCACGTCCACATCCACGTCAACGTCCACGTCCACGTCCACGTCCATGTCCACGTCCACGTCCACGTCCACGTCCACGTCCATTTCCACGTCCATGTCCACGTCCCCGTCCATGTCCACGTCCATGTCCACGTCCATGTCCACGTCCACGTCCACGTCCACGTCCATGTCCACGTCCACGTCCACTTCCACGTCCATGTCCACGTCCATGTCCATGCCACGTCCATGTCCACATCCATGTCCACGTCCTTGCCACGTCTACGTCCACGTCAACGTCCACGTCCACGTCCACGTCCACGTCCATGTCCACGTCCACGTCCACGTCCACGTCCATGTCCACGTCCATGTCCACGTCCACGTCCATGTCCACGTCCACGTCCATGTCCACGTCCACGTCCACGTCCATGTCCACGTCTACGTCCACGTCCACGTCCATGTCCACGTCCACGTCCACATCCACGTCCATGTCCACGTCCATATCCACGTCCACGTCTATGTCCACGTCCACGTCCACGTCCATGTCCACGTCCACGTCCACGTCCACGTCCACGTCCATGTCCACGTCCACGTCCATGTCCACGTCCTCGTCCACATCCACGTCCACGTCTATGTCCACGTCCACGTCCACGTCCACGTCCACGACCATGTCCACGTCTACGTCCACGTCCATGTCCACGTCCACGTCCACGTCTACGTCCACGTCCACGTCCACGTCCATGTCCACGTCCACGTCCATGTCCACGTACACGTCCACGTCCAGGTCCACGTCCACGTCCACGTCCATGTCCACGTCCACGTCCACGTCCATGTCCACGTCCACGTCCACGTCCACGTACACGTCCATGTCCACGTCCACATCCACGTCCACGACCACGTCCACGTCCACGTCCACGTCCACGTCCATGTCAACGTCCACGTCCACGTCCACGTCCACGTCCATGTCAACGTCCGCGTCCACGTCCACGTCCATGTCCACGTCCACGTCCCCGTCCACGTCCACGTCCACGTCCACGTCCACGTCCACGTCCATGTCCACGTCCACGTCCACGTCCACGTCCACGTCCACGTCCACGTCCACGTCCACGTCCACATTCATGTCCACGTCCACGTCTACGACCACGTCCACAACCAGGACCACGTCCACGTACAAGACCACGTCCACGACCACGTCCACATCCACGTCCATGTCCACGTCCAAGTCCTCCACGTCCACAACCACGTCCACGTCCACGACCATGTCAACATCCACGTCCACGACCACGTCCAAATCCTCCACGTCCACGACCACGTCCACGTCCACGTCCACGACCATGTCCACGTCCACGACTACGTCCACGTTCACGTCCACGTCCACGTCCATGTCCATGTCCACGTCCACGTCCACGTCCACGTCCACAACCACCTCCATGTCCACGTCCACGTCCATGTCCACGTCCACGTCCACGTCCACGACCATGTCCACGTCCACGTCCACGTCCATGTCCACGTCTACGTCCACGTCCACGTTCACGTCCACGTCCACGTCCATGTCCACATCCACGTCCACGTCCACGTCCACGACCATGTCCACGTCCACGTCCACGACCAAGTCCACGTCCACGTCCACGACCACGTCCACGTCCAAGTCCACGTCGTGGACGACCACGTCCACGTCCACGTCCACGTCCACGATAACGTCCACGTCCACGTCCATGTCCATGTCCAAGTCCTCCACGTCCACGACCACGTCCACGTCCACGTCAACGTCCACGTCCACGTCCACGTCCACGTCCTCCACGTCCACGCCCACGTCCACCACGTCCACGTCGTCCACGTTCACGTCGTCCACGTCCACGTCCACGACCACGTCCACGTCCACGTCCACGTCCACGTCTACGTCCACGTCCATGTCCACGTCCACGTCCATGTCCACGTCCACGTCCACGTCCATGTCCACGTCCACCACGTCCACGTCCACGTCCACGTCCACGTCCACGTCCACGTCCACGACCACGTCCACGACCACGTCCACCTCCACGTCCACGTCCACGTCCATGTCCACGTCCATGTCCACGTCCACGTCCACGTCCACGTCCATGTCCACGTCCACGTCCATGTCCATGTCCACGTCCACGTCCACGTCCACGTCCTCCACGTCCACGTCCACGTCCTCCATGTCCACGTCCACGACCACGTCTACGTCTACAACCACGACCATGTCCATGTCCACGTCCACGTCCACGACCACGTCCACGTCCCGTCCACATCCACGTCCACGTCCAAGTCCACGTCGTGGATGACCACGTCCACGTCTACGACCACATCCACAACCAGGACCACGTCCACGTCCACGTCCACGACCTGGTCCACGTCCACGTCTATGTCCACGTCCAAGTCCTCCACGTCAATGACCACGTCCACGTCCATGTCCACGTCAACATCCACGTCCACGACCACATCCACGTCCATGTCCATGTGCACGTCCACGTTCACGTCCACGTCCACGACCATGTCCACGTCCATGACCAGGTCCACGTCCACGTCTATGTCCACGTTCACGTCCACGTCCACGTTCACGTCCACGACCATGTCCACGTCCACGTCTACGTCCATGTCCACGTCCACGTCCACGTCCATGTACACGTCCACGTCCACGTCCATGTCCACGTCCACGTCCACGTCCACGTCCACGTCCACGTCCATGTCCACGTCCACGTCCACGTCCACGACCTCGTCCACGTCCACGCCCATGTCCACGTCCAAGTCCTCCACGCCCACGACCACGTCCACGTCCACGTCAACATCCACGTCCACGACCACATCCACGTCCATGTCCATGTGCACGTCCACGTTCACGTCCACGTCCACGACCATGTCCACGTCCACGACCACGTCCACATCCACGTCCACGTCTATGTCCACGTCCACGTCCACATCCACGTCCACGACCATGTCCATGTCCACGTCTACGTCTACGTCCACGTCCACGTCCACGTCCATGTCCATGTCCACGTCCACGTCCACGTCCACGTCCATGTCCACGTTCACGTCCACGTCCACGTCCACGTCCATGTCTACGTCCAAGTCCACGTCCACGTCCACGTCCACGATCATGTCCACGTCCACGTCCACGTCCACGTCCACGTCCATGTCCACGTCCAAGTCCTCCACGTCCACGTCCATCTCCACGTCCACATCCTCGTCAACGTCCACGTCCACGTCCACGTCCATGTCCACGTCAACGTCCACGTCCACGTCCACGTCCACGTCCATTTCCACGTCCATGTCCACGTCCACGTCCATGTCCACGTCCATGTCCACGTCCATGTCCACGTCCACGTCCACGTCCACGTCCATGTCCACGTCCACGTCCACGTCCACTTCCACGTCCATGTCCACGTCCATGTCCATGCCACGTCCATGTCCACATCCATGTCCACGTCCACGTCCACGTCTACGTCCACGTCAATGAGTACGTCCACGTCCACGTCCACGTCCACGTCCATGTCCACGTCCACGTCCACGTCCACGTCCATGTCCACGTCCATGTCCACGTCCACGTCCATGTCCACGTCCATGTCCACGTCCATGTCCTCGTCCACGTCCACGTCCACGTCCATGTCCACGTCCACGTCCACATCCACGTCCATGTCCACGTCCATATCCATGTCCACGTCTATGTCCACGTCCACGTCCACGTCCACGTCCAAGTCCACGTCCACGTCCACGTCCACGATCATGTCCACGTCCACGTCCACGTCCACGTCCATGTCCACGTCCAAGTCCTCCACGTCCACGTCCATCTCCACGTCCACGTCCACGTCAACGTCCACGTCCACATCCACGTCCACATCCACGTCCATTTCCACGTCCATGTCCACGTCCACGTCCACGTCCACGTCCACGTCCATGTCCACGTCCATGTCCACGTCCACGTCCACGTCCATGTCCACGTCCACGTCCACGTCCACTTCCACGTCCATGTCCACGTCCATGTCCATGCCACGTCCATGTCCACATCCATGTCCACGTCCACGTCTACGTCCACGTCAATGTCCACGTCCACGTCCACGTCCACGTCCATGTCCACGTCCACGTCCACGTCCACGTCCATGTCTACGTCCATGTCCACGTCCACGTCCATGTCCACGTCCATGTCCACGTCCACGTCCATGTCCACGTCCACGTCCACGTCCATGTCCACGTCCACGTCCACGTCCACGTCCACGTCCACCTCCACGTCCATGTCCACGTCCATATCTACGTCCACGTCCATGTCCATGTCCATGTCCACGTCCACATCCACGTCCACATCCACGTCCACGTCTATGTCCACGTCCACGTCCACGTCCACGTCCATGTCCACGTCCACATCCACGTCCACGTCCACGTCCACGTCCATGTCCACGTCCACGTCCATGTCCACGTCCTCGTCCACATCCACGTCCATGTCCATGTCCACGTCCACGTCCACGTCCACGTCCACGACCATGTCCACGTCTACGTCCACGTCCATGTCCACGTCCACGTCCACGTCTACGTCGACGTCCACGTCCACGTCCACGTTCATGTCCACGTCCACGTCCATGTCCACGTACACGTCCACGTCCACGTCCACGTCCACGTCCATGTCCACGTCCACGTCCACGTCCATGTCCACGTCCACGTCCACGTCCACGTCCACGTCCGCGTCCACGTCCACGTCCACGTCCGCGTCCACGTCCACGTCCGCGTCCACGTCCACGTCCACGTCCACCTCCATGTCCACGTCCACGTCTACGACCACGTCCACAACCAGGACCACGTCCACGTACATGACCACGTCCACGACCACGTCCACATCCACGTCCATGTCCACGTCCAAGTCCTCCACGTCCACAACCACGTCTACGTCCACGACCATGTCAACATCCACGTCCACGACCACGTCCAAATCCTCCACGTCCACGACCACGTCCACGTCCACGACCATGTCCACGTCCACGACCACGTCCACGTCCTCGTCCACGTCCAAGTCCATGTCCACGTCCACGTCCACGTCCACGTCCACGTCCACAACCACCTCCATGTCCACGTCCACGTCCACGTCCACTTCCACGTCCACGTCCACGTCCATGTCCACGTCCACGTCCACGACCATGTCCACGTCCACGTCCACGTCCACGTCCATGTCCACGTCTACGTCCACGTCCACGTTTACGTCCACGTCCACGTCCATGTCCACGTCCACGTCCACGTCCACGTCCACGACCACGTCCACGTCCACGTCCACGACCAAGTCCACGTCCACGTCCACGACCACATCCACGTCCAAGTCCACGTCGTGGACGACCACGTCCACGTCCACGTCCACGTCCACGATAACGTCCACATCCACGTCCATGTCCATGTCCATGTCCAAGTCCTCCACGTCCACGACCACGTCCACGTCCACGTCAACGTCCACGACCACGTCCACGTCCACGTCCACGTCCTCCACGTCCACGTCCACGTCCACCACGTCCACGTCGTCCACGTCCACGTCCACGACCACGTCCACGTCCATGTCCACGTCCACGTCCACGTTTACGTCCACGTCCACGTTTACGTCCACGTCCACGTCCACGTCCACGTCCATGTCCACGTCCACGTCCATGTCCACGTCCACGTCCACGTCCACGTCCACGTCCACGTCCACGTCCACGTCCATGTCCATGTCCACGTCCACGTCCACGTCCACGTCCACGTCCACGTCCACGTCCACGTCGACGTCCACGTCCACGTCTACGTCCACGACCACGTCCACGTCCACGTCCACGTCCACGTCCATGTCCACGTCCATGTCCACGTCCACGTCCATGTCCACGTCCATGTCCACGTCCACGTCCATGTCCACGTTCACGTCCACGTCCACGTCCACGTCCACGTCCATGTCCACGTCCACGTCTACGTCCACGTCCACGTCCACGTCCATGTCCACGTCCACGTCCATGTCCACGTCCACGTCCACGTCCACGTCCACGTCCACGTCCACGTCCATATCCACGTCCATGTCCACGTCCACGTCCACGTCCAAGTCCACGTCCAGGTCCACGTCCACGTCCATGTCTACGTCCACGTCCATGTCCACGTCCCCGTCCAGGTCCACGTCCACCTCCACGGCCACGTCCACGTCCACGTCCACGTCCACGTCCAAGTCCACAACCACGTCCACGTCAACGTCCACGTCCACGTCAACGTCCACGACCACGTCCACGTCTACGTCCACGTCCACGTCCTCCACGTCCACGTCCACCTCCACCACGTCCACGTCGTCCACGTCCACGACCACGTCCACGTCCATGTCCACGTCCACGTCTACATCCACGTCCACGTCCACGTCCATGTCCACGTTTACGTCCATGTCCACGTCCACGTCCACGTCCACGTCCATGTCCACGTCCACGTCCACGTCCACGTCCACGTCCATGTCCACGTCCACGTCCACGTCCACGTCCACGCCCATGTCCACGTGGACGTCGACGTCGACGTCCACGTCCACGTCCACGTCCACGTCCACGTCCATGTCCACGTCCACGTCCACGTCCACGTCCACGTCCATGTCCACGTCCACGTCCACGTCCACGTCCATGTCCACGTCCATGTCCACGTCCAAGTCCACGCCCTCGTCCACGTCCGCGTCCACGTCCATGTCCACGTCCGCGTCTACGTCCACGTCCACGTCCGCGTCCACGTCCACGTCCGCGTCTACGTCCACGTCCACGTCCACGTCCATGTCCACGTCCACGTCCATGTCTACGTCCACGTCCACGTCCACGTCCATGTCCATGTCCACGTCAACGTCCACGTCCACGTCCACGTCCACGTCCATGTCCACGTCCACGTCCACGTCCACGACCACGTCCAGTCCACGTCCACGTCCATGTCCATGTCCACGTCCACGTCCACGTCCACGTCCACGTCCATGTCCACGTCCACGTCCACGTCCACGTCCACGTCCACGTCCACGTCCATGTCAACGTCCACGTCCACGTCCACGTCCACGTCCATGTCCACGTCCATGTCCACGTCCACGTCCACGTCCACGTCCACGTCCATGTCCACGTCCACGTCCACGTCCACGTCCACGTTCACGTCCACGTCCACGTCCATATCCAGGTCCACGTCCACGTCTACGACCACGTCCACGACCAGGACCACGTCCACGTACACGACCACGTCCACGACCACGTCCACATCCACGTCCATGTCCACGTCCAAGTCCTCCACGTCCACGACCACGTCCACGTCCACGACCACGTCAACATCCACGTCCACGACCACGTCCAAATCCTCCACGTCCACGACCACGTCCACGTCCACGTCCACGACCATGTCCACGTCCACGACCACGTCCACGTCCACGTGCACGTCCACGTCCATGTCCACGTCCACGACTATGTCCACGTCCACGACCACGTCCATGTCCACGTTGACGTCCACGTCCACGTCCACGTCCACGTCCACGTTTACGTCCACGTCCACGTTTACGTCCACGTCCACGTCCACGTCCACGTCCACGTCCACGTCCAGGTCCACGTCCACGTCCACGTCCACGACCACGTCCACGTCCACGTCCACGTCCACGTCCACGTCCACGTCCACGTCCACGTCCATGTCCACGTCCACGTCCATGTCCACGTCCACGTCCACGTCCACGTCCACGTCCACGTCCACGTCAACGTCCACGTCCACGTCCACGTCCACGTCCACGTCTACGACCACGTCCACGACAAGGACCACGTCCACGTACACGTCCACGTCCACGACCACGTCCAAATCCTCCACGTCCACGACCACGTCCACGTCCACGTCCACGTGCACGTCCACGTCCATGTCCACGTCCACGACCATGTCCACGTCCACGACCACGTCCACGTCCACGTCCACGTTGACGTCGACGTCGACGTCGACGTCCACGTCCACGTCCACGACCATGTCCACGTCCACGTCACGTCTACGTCCATGTCCACGTCCACGTCCACGTCTACGTCCATGTCCACGTCCACGTCCACGTCCACGTCCACGTCATCGTCCACGTCCACGTCCACGTCCACCTCCACGACCACGTCCATGTCCACGTCCACGTCCACGTCCACGTCCACGTCCATGTCCACGTCCAGGTCCACGACCATGTCCACGTCCACGTCCACGTCCACGTCCATGTCCACGTCTACGTCCACGTCCACGTTCACGTCCACGTCCACGTCCATGTCCATGTCCACGTCCACGTCCACGTCCACGACCATGTCCACGTCCACGTCCACGACCACGTCCACGTCCACGTCCACGTCCACGACCACGTCCACGTCCAAGTCCTCGTCGTGGACGACCACGACCACGTCCACGTCTACGTCCACGTCCACAATAACGTCCACGTCCACGTCCATGTCCATGTCCAAGTCCTCCACGTCGACGACCACGTCCACGTCCACGTCAACGTCCACGACCACGTCCACATCCACGTCCACATCCACGTCCACGTCCACGTCCACGTCCACGATAATGTCCACGTCCACGTCCATGTCCATGTCCATGTCCAAGTCCTCCTTGTCTACGACCACGTCCACGTCCACTTCAACGTCCACGACCACGTCCACGTCCACGTCCACCACGTCCACGTCGTCCACGTCCACGTCCACGTCCACGTCCACGTCCATGTCCACGTCCACGTCCACGTCTACGTCCACGTCCACGTCCACGTCCATGTCCACGTCCACGTCCACGTCTACGTCCACGTCCACGACCACGTCCACGTCCACGTCCACGTCCACGTCCACGTCCACGTCCACATCCATGTCCACGTCCACGTCCACGTCCACGTCCACGTCCACGTCCATGTCCACGTCCACGTCGATGTCCACGTCCACGTCCACGTCCACGTCCTCGTCCATGTCCACATCCATGTCTACGTCCAGGTCCACGTCCACGTCCATGTCCACGTCCACGTCCAGGTCCACGTCCAAGTCCAGGTCCACGTCCACGTCCACGTCCACGTCCACGTCCACGGCCACGTCCACGTCCATGTCCACGTCCACGTCCACGTCCATGTCCACGTCCACGTCCACGTCCACGTCCACGTCCATGTCCACGTCCACGTCCACGTCCACGTCCACAACCACGTCCACGTCAACGTCTACGTCCACGTCAACGTCCACGACCACGTCCACGTCCACGTCCACGTCCTCCACGTCCACGTCCACGTCCACCACGTCCACGTCGTCCACGTCCACGTCCACGACCACGTCCATGTCCATGTCCACGTCCACGTCTACATCCACGTCCACGTCCACGTCCACGTCCATGTCCACGTTTACGTCCATGTCCATGTCCACGTCCACGTCCACGTCCACATCCACGTCCATGTCCACGTCCACGTCCACGTCCAAGTCCACGTCCACGTCCACGATAACGTCCACGTCCACGTCCATGTCCATGTCCAAGTCCTCCACGTCTAAGACCACGTCCACGTCCACGTCAACGTCCACGTCCACGTCCATGTCCATGTCCATGTCCACCACGTCCACGTCGTCCACGTCGTCGACGTCCACGACCACGTCCACGTCCATGTCCACGTCCACGTCCACGTCCACCACGTCCACGTCCATGTCCAAGACCACGTCCACGTCCATGTCCACGTCCACGTCCACGTCCACGTCCACGTCCACGTCCATGTCCACGTCCACGTCCACGTCCACGTCCACGTCCACGTCCACGTCCATGTCCAAGTCCACGTCCACGTCCATGTCCATGTCCACGTCCACGTCCACGTCCACGTTCATGTCTACGTCCACGTCCACGACCACGTCCACGTCTACGTCCACGTCCACGTCCATGTCCACGTCCACGTCCACGTCCATGTCCACGTCCACGTCCACGTCCACGTCCACGTCCACGTCTATGTCCACGTCCACGTCTACGTCCACGTCCACGTCCACGTCCATGTCCACGTCCATGTCCACGTCCACGTCCACGTCCACGTCCACGTCCACATCCATGTCCACGTCCACGGCCATGGCCACGTCCATGTCCATGTCGACGTCCACGTCCACGTCCACGTCCACGTCCACGTCCACGTCCATGTCCACGTCCACGTCTATGTCCACGTCCAAGTCCACGTCCACGTCCACGTCCATGTCTACGTCCACGTCTACGTCCACGTCCACGTCCATGTCCACGTCCACGTCCACGTCCAGGTCCACGTCCACGTCCACGTCCACGTCCACGTCCATGTCCACGACCACGTCCACGTCCACGTCCACGTCCAAGTCCTCCACGTCGACGTCCACGTCCACCACGTCCACGTCAACGTCCACGACCACGTCCACGTCCACGTCCACGTCCACGTCCTCCACGTCGACGTCCACGTCCACCACGTCCACGTCGTCCACGTCCACGTCCACGACCACGTCCACGTCCATGTCCACGTCCACGTCTACGTCCACGTCCACGTCCACGTCCATGTCCACGTTTACGTCCATGTCCACGTCCACGTCCACGTCCATGTCCACGTCCACGTCCACGTCCACGTCCACGTCCATGTCCACGTCCACGTCCACGTCCACGTCCATGTCCACGTCCACGTCCACGTCCACGTCCACGTCCATGTCCACGTCCACGTCCACGTCCACGTCCATGTCCACGTCCACGTCCATGTCCACGTCCACGTCCACGTCCACGTCCACATCCATGTCCACGTCCACGTCCACGTCCACGTCCATCTCCATGTCCACGTCCACGTCCATGTCCACGTCCACGTCCACATCCACGTCCATGTCCACGTCCACGTCCACGTCCACGTCCACGTCCATGTCCACGTCGAAGTCCACGTCCACGTCCATGTCCACGTCCACGTCCACGTCCATGTCCTCATCCACGTCTACGTCTACGTCCACGTCCACGTCCATGTCCACGTCCACGTCCATGTCCACGTCCACGACCACGTCCACGTCCACGTCCATGTCCACGTCCACGTCCACGTCCATGTCCACGTCCAGGTCCAGGTCCACGTCCACGTCCATGTCCACGTCCACGTCCACGTCCATGTCCACGTCCACGTCCTCAACCACGTCCACGTCAACGTCCACGTCCACGTCAACGTCCACGACCACGTCCACGACCACGTCCACGTCCACGTCCACGTCCACGATAATGTCCACGTCCACGTCCATGTCCATGTCCATGTCCAAGTCCTCCTTGTCTACGACCACGTCCACGTCCACTTCAACGTCCACGACCACGTCCACGTCCACGGCCACGTCCACCACGTCCACGTCGTCCACGTCCACGTCCACGACCACGTCCATGTCCACGTCCACGTCTATGTCCACGTCCACGTCCACGTCCATGTCCACGTCCACGTCCACGTCCACGTCCACGTCCATGTCCACGTCCACGTCCACGTCCACGTCCACGTCCACGTCTACGTCCACGTCCACGACCACGTCCACGTCCACGTCCACGTCCACGTCCATGTCCACGTCCACGTCCACGTCCACGTCCACGTCCACGTCCACGTCCATGTCCACGTCCATGTCTACGTCCACCTCCACGTCCACGTCCATGTCCACGTCCACGTCCATGTCCACGTCCACGTCCACGTCCACGTCCACGTCCACATCCATGTCCACGTCCACGTCCACGGCCACGTCCATGTCCATGTCCACGTCCACGTCCATGTCCACGTCCACGTCCACGTCCACGTCCATGTCCACGTCCACGTCCATGTCCATGTCCACGTCCAAGTCCACGTCCACGTCCATGTCCACGTCCACGTCCACGTCCATGTCCACGTCCACGTCCACGTCCACGTCCACGTCCATGTCCATGTCTACGTCCACGTCCACGTCCATGTCTACGTCCACGTCCACGTCCACGTCCATGTCCACGTCCACGTCGACGTCCACGTCCACAACCACGTCCACGTCAACGTCCACAACCACGTCCACGTCAACGTCCACGTCCACGTCAACGTCCACGACCACGTCCACGTCCTCCACGTCCACGTCCACGTCCACCACGTCCACGTCGTCCACGTCCACGTCCATGACCACGTCCACGTCCATGTCCACGTCCACGTCTACATCCACGTCCACGTCCATGTCCACGTTTACGTCCATGTCCACGTCCACGTCCACGTCCACGTCCACGTCCATGTCCACGTCCACGTCCATGTCCACGTCCACGTCCACGTCCACGTCCACGTCCACGATAACGTCCACGTCCACGTCCATGTCCATGTCCATGTCCAAGTCCTCCACGTCTACGGCCACGTCCACGTCCACGTCAACGTCCACGACCACGTCCACGTCCACGTCCACGTCCACCACGTCCACGTCGTCCACGTCGTCCACGTCCACGACCACGTCCACGTCCATGTCCACGTCCACGTCCACGTCCATGTCCACGTCCACGTCCATGTCCACGTCCACGTCCACGTCCACGTCCACGTCCACGTCCAGGTCCACGTCCACGTCCACGTCCACGTCCACGTCCACGTCCACGTCCACGTCCACGTCCATGTCCACGTCCACGTCCACGTCCACGTCCACGTCCATGTCCATGTCTACGTCCACGTCCACGTCCACGTCCACGTCCATGTCCACGTCCATGTCCATGTCCACGTCCATGTCCACGTCCATGTCCATGTCCACGTCCACGTCCACGTCCACGTCTATGTCCACGTCCACGTCCACGTCCACGTCCATGTCCACGTCCATGTCCACGTCCACGTCCACGTCCACGTCCACGTCCATGTCCACGTCCATGTCCACGTCCACGTCCACGTCCACGTCTATGTCCACGTCCACGTCCACGTCCACGTCCATGTCCACGTCCACGTCCACGTCCACGTCCACGTCCAGGTCCATGTCCACGTCCACGTCCACGTCTACGTCCACGTCCACGACCACGTCCACGTCCACGTCCACGTCCACGTCCACGTCCACGTCCACGTCCACGTCGGTTCCACGTCCACGTCCACGTCCACGTCCACGTCCACGTCCACGTCTATGTCCACGTCCACGTCTACGTCCACGTCCACGTCCATGTCCACGTCCATGTCCACGTCCACGTCCATGTCCACATCCACGTCCACGTCCACGTCCATGTCCACGTCCACGTCCATGTCCAAGTCCACGTCCACGTCCACGTCCATGTCCACGTCCACGTCTACGTCCACGTCCACGTCCACGTCCACGTCCACATCCATGTCCACGTCCACGTTCACGTCCACGTCCACGTCCACGTCCATGTCCACGTCCACGTCCACGTCCATGTCCACGTCCACGTCCACGTCCACGTCCATGTCCACGTCCACGTCCACGTCCACGTCCACGTCAACGTCCACGTCCACGTCAACGTACACGACCACGTCCACGTCCACGTCCACGTCCACCACGTCCACGTCGTCCACGTCCACGTCCACGACCACGTCCACGTCCATGTCCACGTCCACGTCTACGTCCACGTCCACGTCCACGTCCATGTCCACGTTCACGTCCATGTCCACGTCCACGTCCACGTCCACGTCCACGTCCATGTCCACGTCCATGTCCACGTCCACGTCCACGTCCACGTCCATGTCCACGTCCACGTCCACATCCACGTCCACGTCCACGTCCATGTCCACGTCCACGTCCATGTCCACGTCCACGTCCACGTCCACGTCCACGTCCATGTCCACGTCCACGTCCACGTCCACGTCCACGTCCAGGTCCACGTCCACGTCCACGTCCACGTCTACGTCCACGTCCACGACCACGTCCACGTCCACGTCCACATCCAAGTCCACGTCCACGTCCACGTCCACGTCCACGTCCATGTCCACGTCCACGTCCACGTCCACGTCCACGTCCACGTCCACGTCTATGTCCACGTCCACGTCTACGTCCACGTCCACGTCCATGTCCACGTCCATGTCCACGTCCACGTCCATGTCCACGTCCACGTCCACGTCCACGTCCATGTCCACGTCCACGTCCATGTCCAAGTCCACATCCACGTCCACGTCCATGTCCACGTCCACGTCTACGTCCACGTCCACGTCCACGTCCACGTCCACATCCATGTCCACGTCCACGTTCACGTCCACGTCCACGTCCACGTCCATGTCCACGTCCACGTCCACGTCCATGTCCACGTCCACGTCCACGTCCACGTCCATGTCCACGTCCACGTCCACGTCCACAACCACGTCCATGTCAACGTTCACGTCCACGTCAACATCCACGACCACGTCCACGTCCACGTCCTCCACGTCGACGTCCACGTCCACCACGTCCACGTCGTCCACGTCCACGTCCACGACCACGTCCACGTCCATGTCCACGTCCACGTCTACGTCCACGTCCACGTCCACGTCCACGTCCATGTCCACGTTCATGTCCATGTCCACGTCCACGTCCACGTCCACGTCCACGTCCATGTCCATGTCCACGTCCATGTCCACGTCCACGTCCACGTCCAGGTCCACGTCCACGTCCACGTCCATGTCCACGTCCACGTCCACGTCCACGTCCATGTCCACGTCCACGTCCTTGTCCACGTCCACGTCCACGTCCACGTCCATGTCCACGTCCACGTCCACGTCCACGTCCATCTCAATGTCCACGTCCACGTCCACGTCCACGTCCACGTCCACGTCCACGTCCACGTCCAAGTCCACGTCCACGTCCACGTCCATGTCCACGTCCAAGTCCACGTCCATGTCCACGTCCACGTCCACGTCCATGTCCACATCCACGTCCACGTCCACGTCCACGTCCACGTCCATGTCCACGTCCACGTCCACGTCCATGTCCACGTCCACGTCCACGTCCACGTCCACGTCCACGTCCATGTCCATGTCCACGTCCACGTCCACGTCCATGTCCACGTCCAGGTCCAGGTCCACGTCCACGTCCATGTCCACGTCCACGTCCACGTCCACGTCCTCAACCACGTCCACGTCAACGTCCACGTCCACGTCAACGTCCACAACCACGTCCAAGTCCACGTCCACGTCCTCCACGTCCACGTCCACGTCTACTACGTCCACGTCGTCCACGTCCACGTCCACGACCACGTCCACGTCCACGACCACGTCAACATCCACGTCCACGACCACGTCCAAATCCTCCACGTCCACGACCACGTCCACGTCCACGTCCACGACCATGTCCACGTCGACGACCACGTCCACGTCCACGTGCACGTCCACGTCCATGTCCACGTCCACGACCATGTCCATGTCCACGACCATGTCCATGTCTACGTCCACGTTGACGTCCATGTCCACGTCCACGTCCACGTCCACGTCCACGACCACGTCCACGTCCAAGTCCACGTCGTGGACGACCACGACCACGTCCACGTCTACGTCCACATCCACAATAACGTCCACGTCCACGTCCATGTCCATGTCCAAGTCCTCCACATCTACGACCACGTCCACGTCCACGTCAACGTCCACGACCACGTCCACGTCCACGTCCACGTCCACGTCCACAATAACGTCCACGTCCACGTCCATGTTCATGTCCATGTCCAAGTCCTCCACGTCTACGACCACGTCCACGTCCACGTCAACGTCCACGACCAGGTCCACGTCCATGTCCACCACGTCCACGTCGTCCACGTCCACGACCACGTCCACGTCCATGTCCACGTCCACGTCTACGTCCACGTCCACGTCCACGTCCATGTCCACGTCCACGTCCACGTCTACGTCCACGTCCACGTCCACGTCCACGTCCACGTCCACGTCCACGTCCACGTCCACGTCCACGACCACGTCTACGTCCACGTCCACGTCCACGTCCACGACCATGTCCACGTCCACGTCCATGTCCACGTCCACGTCCACGTCCACGTCCACGTCCACGTCCACGTCCCCGTCCACGTCCATGTCCACGTCCACGTCCACGTCCCCGTCCACGTCCACGTCCACGTCCACGTCCACGTCCATGTCTATGTCCACGTCCACGTCCACGTTCATGTCCACGTCCATGTCCACGTCCACGTCCACGTTCATGTCCACGTCCACGTCTACGTCCACGTCCACGTCCACGACCACGTCCACGTCCATGTCCACGTCCACGTCCACGACCACGTCCACGTCCACGTCTACGTCCACGTCCACGTCCACGTCCACGTCCATGTCCACGTTTACGTCCACGTCCACGTCCACGTCCATGTCCACGTCCATGTCCACGTCCACGTCCACGTCCACGTCCACGTCCACGTCCACGTCCATGTCCACGTCCACGTCCCTGTCCACGTCCACGTCCACGTCCACGTCCACGTCCACGTTTATGTCCACGTCCATGTCCACGTCCAAGTCCTCATCCACGTCCACGTCCACGTCCATGTCCATGTCCACGTCCACGTATAAGTCCACGTCCACGTCCACGTCCATGTCCACGTCCACGTCCATGTCTACGTCCACGTCCACGTCCACGTCCATGTCCACGTCCATGTCCACGTCCACGTCCACGTCCACGTCCACGTCCACGTCCACGTCCACGTCCACGTCCATGTCCACGTCCACGTCCACGTCCACGTCCACGTCCACGTCCACCTCCATGTCCACGTCCACGCCTACGACCACATCCACGACCAGGACCACGTCCACGTACACGACCACGTCCACGACCACGTCCACATCCACGTCCATGTCCACGTCCAAGTCCTCCACGTCCACGACCACGTCCACGTCCACGACCACGTCAACATCCATGTCCACGACCACGTCCAAATCCTCCACGTCCACGACCACGTCCACGTCCACGTCCACGACCATGTCGATGTCTACGACCACGTCCACGTCCACGTGCACGTCCACGTCCATGTCCACGTCCACGACCATGTCCACGTCCATGACCACGTCCACGTCCACGTCCACGTTGACGTCCATGTCCACGTCCACGTCACGTCCACGTCCATGTCCACGTCCACGTCCACGTCCATGTCCATGTCCACGTCCACGTCCACGTCCGCGTCCACGTCCATGTCCACGTCCACGTCCACTTCCACGTCCACGTCCATGTCCATGTCCACGTCCATGTCCACGTCCACGTCCATGTCCACGTCCACATCCACGTCCACGTCCACGTCCACGTCCACGTCCATGTCCACGTCCACGTCCACGTCCATGTCCACGTCCACGTCCACGTCCACGTCCATGTCCACGTCCACGTCCACGTCTACGTCCACGTCCACGACCATGTCCACGTCCACGTCACGTCCACGTCCATGTCCACGTCCACGTCCACGTCCACGTCCACGTCGACGTCCACGTCCACGTCCACGTCCACGTCCACGTCCACGTCCACGACCACGTCCATGTCCACGTCCACGTCCACGTCCACGTCCACGTCCACGTCCACGTCTACGTCCACATCCACGTTCACGTCCACGTCCACGTCCATGTCCATGTCCACGTCCACGTCCACGTCCACGACCATGTCCACGTCCACATCCACGACCACGTCCACATCCACGTCCACTTCCACGACCATGTCCACGTCCAAGTCCACGTCGTGGACGACCACGACCACGTCCACGTCTACGTCTACGTCCACGATAACGTCCACGTCCACGTCCATGTCCATGTCCAAGTCCTCCACGTCTACGACCACATCCACGTCCACGTCAACGTCCACGACCACGTCCACGTCCAGGTCCACGTCCACGTCTACGTCCACGTCCACGTCCACGATAATGTCCACGTCCATGTCCATGTCCATGTCCAAGTCCTCCACGTCTACGACCACGTCCACGTCAACGTCCACGACCACGTCCACGTCCATGTCCACGTCCACCACGTCCACGTCGTCCACGTCCACGTCCACGACCACGTCCACGTCCATGTCCACGTCCACGACCACGTCCACGTCCACGTCCACGTCCACGTCCATGTCCACGTCCACGTCCACGTCCCATCCACGTCCATGTCCATGTCCACGTCCACGTCCCATCCACGTCCACGTCCACGTCCACGTCCACGTCCACGTCCATGTCCACGTCCACGTCCACGTCCACGTCCACGTCTACGTCCACGTCCTCGACCACGTCCACGTCCACGTTTACGTCCACGTCCACGTCCACGTCCACGTCACGTCCACGTCCATGTCCACGTCCACGTCCACGTCCACGTCCACGTCCACGTCCACGTCCACGACCACGTCCATGTCCACGTCCACGTCCAAGTCCACGTCCACGTCCACGTCCACGTCCATGTCCACGTCCACGTCCACGTCCACGACCATGTCCTCGTCCACGTCCACGTCCACGTCTACGTCCACGTCCACGTCTACGTCCATGTCCACGTCCACGTTCACGTCCACGTCCACGTCCATGTCCATGTCCCGTCCACGTCAACGTCCACGACCATGTCCACGTCCACGTCCACGACCACGTCCACGTCCACGTCCACTTCCACAACCACGTCCACGTCCAAGTCCACGTCGTGGACGACCACGACCACGTCCACGTCTACGTCCACGTCCACGATAACGTCCACGTCCACGTCCATGTCCATGTCCAAGTCCTCCACGTCTACGACCACATCCACGTCCACGTCAACGTCCACGACCACGTCCACGTCCATGTCCACGTCCACGTCCACGTCCACGTCCACGATAACGTCCACGTCCATGTCCATGTCCATGTCCAAGTCCTCCACGTCTACGACCACGTCCACGTCAACGTCCACGACCACGTCCACGTCCACGTCCACGTCCACCACGTCCACGTCGTCCACGTCCACGTCCACGACCACGTCCACGTCCATGTCCACGTCCACGTCTACGTCTACGTCCACGTCCACGTCCATGTCCACGTCCACGTCCATGTCCACGTCCATGTCCATGTCCACGTCCACGTCCACGTCCATGTCCACGTCCACGTCCACGTCCACGTCCACGTCCATGTCCACGTCCAAGTCCTCCACGTCCACGTCCACGTCCATGTCCACGTCCATGTCCACGTCCACGTCCATGTCCACGTCCATGTCCACGTCCAGGTCCATGTCCACGTCTACGTCCACGTCCACGTTCACGTCCACGTCCACGTCCATGTCCAGGTCCACGTCCATGTCCATGTCCATGTCCACGTCCACGTCCATGTCCACGTCCACGTCCATGTCCACGTCCACGTCTACGTCCACGTCCACGTCCATGTCCACGTCCACGTCTACGTCCACGTCCACGATAACGTCCACGTCCACGTCCATGTCCATGTCCAAGTCCTCCACGTCTACGACCACATCCACGTCCACGTCAACGTCCACGACCACGTCCACGTCCATGTCCACGTCCACGTCCACGTCTACGTCCACGTCCACGTCCACGATAACGTCCATGTCCATGTCCATGTCCAAGTCCTCCACGTCTACGACCACGTCCACGTCAACGTCCACGACCACGTCCACGTCCACGTCCACGTCCACCACGTCCACGTCGTCCACGTCCACGTCCACGACCACGTCCACGTCCATGTCCACGTCCACGTCTACGTCCACGTCCACGTCCACGTCCATGTCCACGTCCACGTCCACGTCCACATCCACGTCCACGTCCATGTCTACGTCCACGTCCACGTCCACGTCCAAGTCCTCCACGTCCACGTCCACATCCATGTCCACGTCCATGTCCACGTCCACGTCCATGTCCACGTCCATGTCCACGTCCAGGTCCATGTCCACGTCTACGTCCACGTCCACATTCACGTCCACGTCCATGTCCATGTCCACGTCCATGTCCATGTCCACGTCCACGTCCATGTCCACGTCCACGTCCATGTCCACGTCCACGTCCACGTCCACGTCCACCACGTCCACGTCGTCCACGTCCACGTCCACGACCACGTCCACGTCCATGTCCACGTCCACGTCTACGTCCACGTCCACGTCCACGTCCATGTCCACGTCCACGTCCATGTCCACGTCCACGTCCACGTCCCATCCACGTCCACGTCCACGTCCAAGTCCACGTCCACGTCCACGTCCACGTCCACGTCCATGTCCACGTCCACGTCCACGTCCATGTCCACGACCACGTCCACGTCCACGTCCACGTCACGTCCACGTCCACGTCCACGTCCACGTCCACGTCCACGTCCACGTCCACGACCACGTCCATGTCCACGTCCACGTCCACGTCCACGTCCACGTCCACGTCCAGGTCCACGTCCACGTCCACGTCCATGACCATGTCCACGTCCACGTCCACGTCCACGTCCACGTCCATGTCCACGTCTACGTCCACGTCCACGTTCACGTCCACGTCCACGTCCATGTCCATGTCCACGTCCACGTCCACGTCCACGACCATGTCCACGTCCACGTCCACGACCACGTCCACGTCCACGTCCACTTCCACGACCACGTCCACGTCCAAGTCCACGTCGTGGACGACCACGACCACGTCCACGTCTACGTCCACGTCCACAATAACGTCCACGTCCACGTCCATGTCCATGTCCAAGTCCTCCACGTCTACGACCACATCCACGTCCACGTCAACGTCCACGACCACGTCCACGTCCATGTCCACGTCCACGTCCACGTCCACGTCCACGTCCACGATAACGTCCACGTCCATGTCCATGTCCATGTCCAAGTCCTCCACGTCTACGACCACGTCCACGTCAACGTCCACGACCACGTCCACGTCCACGTCCACGTCCACCACGTCCACATCGTCCACGTCCACGTCCACGACCACGTCCACGTCCATGTCCACGTCCACGTCTACGTCCACGTCCATGTCCACGTCCATGTCCACGTCCATGTCCACGTCCATTTCCACGTCCACGTCCACGTCCACATCCACGTCCACGTCCATGTCCACGTCCACGTCCACGTCCACGTCCACGTCCATGTCCACGTCCAAGTCCTCCACGTCCACGTCCACGTCCACGTCCATGTCCACGTCCACGTCCACGTCCACGTCCATGTCCACGTCTACGTCCACGTCCACGTTCACGTCCACGTCCACGTCCATGTCCATGTCCACGTCCATGTCCATGTCCATGTCCACGTCCACGTCCATGTCCACGTCCACGTCCATGTCCACGTCCACGTCCATGTCCACGTCCATGTCCACGTCCATGTCCACGTCCATGTCCACGTCCACGTCCACGTCCACGTCCATGTCCACGTCCACGTCCATGTCCACGTCCACGTCCACGTCCACGTCCACGTCCACGTCCACGTCCATCTCCATGTCCACGTCCACGTCCATGTCCACGTCCACGTCCACATCTATGTCCATGTCCACGTCCACGTCTACGTCCACGTCCACGTCCACGTCCATGTCCACGTCCAAGTCCACGTCCACGTCCATGTCCACGTCCACGTCCATGTCCACGTCCACGTCTACGTCCACGTCCACGTCCATGTCCACGTCCACGTCCACGTCCATGTCCACGTCCACGTCCAAGTCCACGTCCAAGTCCACGTCCATGTCCATGTCCACGTCCACGTCCACGTCCATGTCCACGTCCAGGTCCAGGTCCACGTCCACGTCCATGTCCACGTCCACGTCAACGTCCACGTCCACGTCAACGTCCACGACCACGTCCACGTCCACGTCCACGTTCTCCACGTCCACGTCCACGTCCACTACGTCCACGTCGTCCACGTCCACGTCCACGACCACGTCCACGTCCACGACCACGTCAACATCTACGTCCACGACCACGTCCAAATCCTCCACGTCCACGACCACGTCCACGTCCACGTGCACGTCCACGTCCATGTCCACGTCCACGACCATGTCCACGTCCACGACCACGTCCACGTCCACGTGCACGTCCACGTCCATGTCCACGTCCACGACCATGTCCACGTCCACGACCACGTCCACGTCTACGTCCACGTTGATGTCCATGTCCACGTCCACGTCCACGTCCACGTCCACGTCCACGTCCATGACCACGTCCACGTCCAAGTCCACGTCGTGGACGACCACGACCACGTCCACGTCTACGTCCACATCCACAATAACGTCCACGTCCACGTCCATGTCCATGTCCAAGTCCTCCACATCTACGACCACGTCCACGTCCACGTCAACGTCCACGACCACGTCCACGTCCACGTCCACGTCCACGTCCACGTCCACGATAACGTCCACGTCCACGTCCATGTCCATGTCCATGTCCAAGTCCTCCACGTCTACGACCACGTCCACGTCCACGTCAACGTCCACGACCACGTCTACGTCCACGTCCACCACGTCCACGTCGTCCACGTCCACGACCACGTCCACGTCCATGTCCACGTCCACGTCTACGTCCACGTCCACGTCCACGTCCACGTCCATGTCCACGTCCACGTCCACGTCCATGTCCACGTCCACGTCCACGTCCACGTCCACGTCCATGTCCACGTCCACGTCCACGTCCACGTCCACGTCCATACGTCCACGTCCATGTCCACGTCAACGTCCACGACCACGTCCACGTCCACATCCATGTCCACGTCCACGTCCATGTCCACGTCCACGTCCACGTCCACGTCCACGTCCACGTCCACGTCCATGTCCACGTCCACGTCCCCGTCCACGTCCACGTCCACGTCCCCGTCCACGTCCACGTCCCCGTCCACGTCCAAGTCCACGTCCACGTCCACGTCCACGTCCACGTCCACGTCCAAGTCCACGTCCAAGTCCACGTCCACGTCCACGTCCACGTCCACGTCCACGTCCACGACCACGTCCACGTCCACGTCCACGTCCACGTCCATGTCCACGTCCACGTCCACGACCACGTCCACGTCCACGTCCACGTCCACGTCCACGTCCATGTCCATGTCCACGTCCACGTCCCTGTCCACGTCCACGTCCACGTCCACGTCCACGTCCATGTCCATGTCCAAGTCCACGTCCACGTCCACGTCCACGTCCATGTCCACGTCCACGTCCATGTATACGTCCACGTCCACGTCCACGTCCATGTCCACGTCCATGTCCACGTCCACGTCCACGTCCACGTCCACGTCCACGTCCATGTCCACTTCCATGTCCACGTCCACGTCCACGTCCACATCCATGTCCACGTTCACGTCTACGACCACGTCCACGACCAGGACCACGTCCACGTACACGACCACGTCCACGACCACGTCCACATCCACGTCCATGTCCACGTCCAAGTCCTCCACGTCCACGACCACGTCCACGTCCACGACCACGTCAACATCCACGTCCACGACCACGTCCAAATCCTCCACGTCCACGACCACGTCCACGTCCACGTCCACGACCACGTCCATGTGCACGTTTACGTCCACGACCACGTCTACGTCCACGACCACGTCCACGACCACGTCCACGACCACGACCACGTCCACGTCCACGTCCATGTCTACGTCCATGTCTACGACCACGTCCACGTCTACGTCCATGTCCACGACCACGTCCACGTCCACGACCACGTCCACGTTCACGTCCAAGTCCACGTCCTCCACGTCCACGTCCACGTCCTCCACGTCCACGTCCTCCATGTCCACCTCCCCGTCCACGTCCACGACCACGTCCACGTCCACGTCCACGACCACGTCCAGGTCCACGTCCACGTCCACGACCACGTCCATGTCCACGACCACGTCCACATCCATGTCCATGTCCACGTCCACGTCCACGTCCAAGTCCACGTCCACGTCCACCTCCACGTCCACGTCCACGTCCACGTCCACGTCCATGTCCACGTCCACTTCCACGTCCACGTCCACGTCCACGACCACGTCCACGACCATGTCCACGTCCACGTCCACGTCCATGTCCACGTCCACGTCCACGTCCATGTCCACGTCCACGTCCATGTCCACGTCCACGTCCACGTCCACGTCCACGTCCACGTCCAAGTCCACGTCCATGTCCACGTCCATGTCCACGTCCATGTCCACGTCCATGTCCACGTCCACGTCCACGTCGACGACCACGTCCACAACCACGTCCACGTCCACGTCCATGTCCAAGTCGACGTCCACGTCCACGTCCACGACCACGTCCAAGTCCACGTCCACGTCCACGTCCACGTCGACGTCCACGACCACGTCCACGTCCACGTCCACGACCACGTCTATGTCCACGTCCACGTCCAAGACCACGTCCACGACCACGTCCTGGTCCACGTCCACGACCACGACCATGTCCATGTCCATGACCACGTCCATTTCCACATCCACGTCCATGACCACGTCCACGTCCACGACCACGTCCACGTTCACATCCTTGTCCACGTCCACGTCCATGTCCATGACCACGTCCACGTCCACGTCCATGTCCACGTCCACGTCCACGCCCACGTCCACGTCCACGACCATGTCCACGTTCACGTCCACGTCCACGACCACGTCCTCGACCACGTCCACGTCCACGTCCACGTCCACGACCACGTCCACGTCAATGTCCACGTCCACCTCCACGTCCACGACCACGTCCACGTCCACCTCCACGTCCACGACCACGTCCACGTCCACGTTTACGTCCACGACCACGTCCACGACCACGTCCACGTCCAGGTCCACGTCCACGTCCAAGTCCACGTCCACCTCCACGTCCACGTCCACGTCCAAGTTCACATCCACGTCCACGTCCATGACGACGTCCACGTCCATGTCCACGTCCAAGTCCACGTCCACGTCCACCTCCACGACCATGTCCACGTCCACGACCACGTCCACGTCCACCTCCAAGTCCTCCACGTCCATAACCACGTCCAGGTCCACGTTTACGTCCACGTCCACGTCCTCCACGACCACGTCCACGTCCACGACCACGTCCACGTCCACGTCCACGTCCACTTCCACGTCCACGTCCACGTCCAGGTCCACGTCCACGTCCACGTCCATGTCCACGTCCATGTCCACGTCCACGTCCACGTCCATGTCCACGTCCACGTCCACGTCCACGTCCATGTCCATGTCCACGTCCACGTCCATGTCCACGTCAACGTCCACCTCCACGTCCATGTCCACGTCCACGTCCACGTCCACGTCCCCGTCCACGTCCACGTCCACGTCCACGTCCACCTCCACGTCCATGTCCATGTCCACCTCCATATCCAGGTCCTTGTCCACGTCCACGTCCTCGTCCACGTCCACGTCCACGTCCACGTCCATGTCCACGTCCACGTCCACGTCCATGTCCAGGTCCATGTCTACGTCCACGTCCACGTCCATGTCCACGTCCACGTCCACGTCCACGTCTACGTCCACGTCCACGACCACGTGCACGTTTACGTCCACGACCACGTCCACGTCCACGACCACGTCCACGACCACGTCCACAACCACGACCACGTCCACGTCCACGTCCAAGTCTACGTCCATGTCTACGACCACGTCCACGTCTACGTCCACGTCCACGACCACGTCCACGTCCATGTCCACGTCCACGTCCACGTCCACGACCACGACCACGTCCACATCCATGTCCATGTCCACGTCCACGTCCACGTCCAAGTCCACGTCCACGTCCACGTCCACGTTCACGTCCACGTCCACGTCCACGTCCACCTCCACGTCCACGTCCACGTCCACGTCCATGTCCACGTCCACGTCCACGTCCTCGTCCACGTCCACGTCCACGACCACGTCCACAACCATGTCCACGTCCACGTCCACGTCCATGTCCACGTCCACGTCCACGACCATGTCCACGTCCACGTCCATGTCCACGTCCATTCCACGTCCACGTCCATGTCCACGTCCACGTCCAAGTCCACGTCCATGTCCACGTCCATGTCCACGTCCTTGTCCACGTCCACGACCACGTCCACAACCACGTCTACGTCCACGTCCACGTCCACGTCCAAGTCCACTTCCACGTCCACGTCCACATCCACGACCACGTCCAAGTCCACGTCCACGTCCACGTCCACGTCCACGTCCACGTCGACGTCCACGACCACGTCCACGTCCACGACCACGTCTACGTCCACGTCCACGTCCAAGACCACGTCCACGACCACGTCCAGGTCCACGTCCACGACCACGACCACGTCCATGTCCATGACCACGTCCACGTCCACATCCACGTCCATGACCACGTCCACGTCCACGACCACGTCCATGTTCACATCCTTGTCCACGTCCACGTCCATGTCCATGACCACGTCCACGTCCACGTCCATGTCCACGTCCACGTCCACGTCCACGTCCACGACCATGTCCACGTCCACGTCCACGTCCACGACCACGTCCTCGACCACGTCCACGTCCACGTCCACGTCCACGACCACGTCCACGTCAATGTCCACGTCCACCTCCACGTCCATGACCACGTCCACGTCCACCTCCACGTCCACGACCACGTCCACGTCCACGTTTACGTCCACGACCACGTCCACGACCACGTCCACGTCCAGGTCCACGTCCACGTCCAAGTCCACGTCCACCTCCACGTCCACGTCCACGTCCAAGTCCACATCCTCGTCCACGTCCACGACGACGTCCACGTCCATGTCCACGTCCACGTCCATGTCCACGTCCTCGTCCACATCCACGTCCACGTCTATGTCCACGTCCACGTCCACGTCCACGTCCACGACCATGTCCAAGTCTACGTCCACGTCCATGTCCACGTCCACGTCCACGTCTACGTCCACGTCCACGTCCACGTCCATGTCCACGTCCACGTCCAGGTCCACGTCCACGTCCACGTCCACGACCATGTCCACGTCCACGACCACGTCCACGTCCACGTCCACGTCCACCTCCAAGTCCTCCACGTCTATGACCACGTCCACGTCCACGTTTACGTCCACGTCCACGTCCTCGACGACCACGTCCACGTCCACGACCACGTCCACGTCCACGTCCACTTCCACGTCCACGTCCACGTCCACGTCCACGTCCATGTCCATGTCCACGTCCACCTCCACGTCCACGACCATGTCCACGTCCACGTCCACATCCACGTCCACGTCCACGTCCATGTCCACGTCCACGTCCACATCCATGACCATGTCCACGTCCACGTCCACGTCCACGTCCACGTCCACGTCCACGTCCACGTCCACGTCCACGTCCACGTCCATGTCCACGTCCACGTCCATGTCCACATCCACGTCCACGTCCACGTCCACGTCCACGACCATGTCCACGTCCACGTCCACGTCCACGTCCACGTCCACGTCCACAACCATGTCCACGTCCACGTCCACGTCCACGTCCACGTCCACGTCCAGGTCCACGTCCACGTCCACGTCCACGTCCACGTCCATGTCCACGTCCACGTCCACGTCCAGGTCCACGTCCACGTCCACGTCCACGTCCATGTCCACGTCCACGTCCATGTCCACGTCCACGTCCACGTCCACGACCATGTCCACGTCCACGTCCACGTCCACGTCCACGTCCATGTCCTGTCAGAATGTTATATAGCTTATACATTTGTGTAGGCTATAGTGGGGTATCCCATAGGGGGTACAACCCAATTAGGGTTAGTACTTGTACTCACTCATTTCATAGTTCATTCATTCTCGTTTCAATTCTCACATGGTATCGAGCAGGTTCCCTCGTGGGAACTGTTCCTAAGGCCCTACTACTGCTTCTGCTGCTACTTGATCTGTCGCACGCCCCGCAGCGTTGGCGCGCGGCGATTTTCTTTCTGGCGCGCGCCCCCAGGCGCGCGACCCTGCCTCCTTCGTCGCGGCCCCGCCCCTTGTCGCGGCCCCGCCCTACGTCGCGGCCTCGCCCTACGTCGCGGCCCCGCCCCGAGGCGCGCGACCCCGCCTCTTTCGTCGCGGCCCCGCCCCTTGTCGCGGCCCCGCCCTGCGTCGCGGCCCCGCCCTACGTCGCGGCCCCGCCCCTCGTCGCGGCTCCGCCACCTCTCGTCGCGGCCCCGCCATCTCTAGTCGCGGCCCCGCCATTCTCGTCGCTGCCCTGCCCTTCGTTGCGGCCCCTGCCGCCCTTCGTCGCGGCCCCTGCCGCCTTTCGTCGCGACCCCTGCCGCCCTTCGTCGCGGCCCCTGCCGCCATTCTCCACCGCGGCCCCGCCACCTCCCTTGCAGCCCCGCAGCCCTGCACCGACCCGGCCCCGCCTCTGCTGGCCCCGTCGCCTGCCCCTGCGCCCCTGCGACCCTGCTCCACCTCTGCCAGCCCCGGCGCCGCCTCTGCTGGCCCCGTGGCCGCTCCACCCAGCCCCGCCGCCGTCCCCAGGCGGCCTCGCTGTCACCACCGAGCCGCCGGCGCCGCCGAGCTAGTGCCGAGTCACCCGAGCCGCCCGAGCCGCCCGAGCCGCCCGAGCCGCCCGAGCCGCCCGAGCCACCCGAGCCGCCCAAGCCGCAGCGCCATCTCAGCCGCCCGAGCCGCCGGGTCGCCGAGCCGCCGAGCTGTAGTTGCTGCCGAGCAGCCGTACCGCCGAGCCGCCGAGCCGCCGAGCCGCCCGAGTCGCCCGAGCAGCCGAGCCGCCCGAGTCACCCGAGCCGCCGAGCCGCAGTTGCTGCAGTGCCGCCGTGCCGCCAAGTCACCGAGTCGCCGAGTCGTCGAGCCTCCTCTTCCCACCACTAGTGAGCCCCTGCCTTACCAGCGCGCTGCCTACTGCTTGCTTGGCTGCCTGCCTTACTGCTGCTACTCCTGCTCCTGCTTTTACTTGCGGCAGCCAGATGCAGCTCCAACGACGCCCACGCGCATCTCTCACGCCCCAGCAGCTTCGTGAGTGGTACGCTCAGAGTGGAGGGTCTCTCAGTTCTGTTCGCTGGTCTTACGTGATTCGCACTAATGCTTGGACTGGTCAGCCTTGTGGGACGCCTAGTCACACACCGTCCCACTGCTTTGCCCGTCTGAGCGACGCCTGGCGTACCGAGTTTGGCGACGAGGCTCAGCTCCCTGACTGGGTGGAGTTGCTTAGGCAGAGGGTAGATATATTTGCTCTTGACTATGATGCTATTCTCACTGCCATGTATGCATTGCCTACTAGTGCTGACCGTGCCAGTCACCTGTGCGTACCGCCTGACCCGGGTATAGATCCTGCTGCTCTAGCTGCTGGTGCGGCTGCTGCTCTGGGTGCTAGTGTGTCTCCCGCTCCAGGTACAGGTGCGGCTGCTGCTCTAGGTGCTAGTGAGTCTGCTTCCTCAGCTGCGGGTGAGTCTGCTCTCTCAGGTACCGCGTCGGCTCCGGCCTCTCACACCTTCACCCTTGACTCGGGGGCTTCCCGCTCCTTCTTTCGAGACTGCACCACACTCACGCCGCTTGGTCGGCCAGTTGCAGTCTCTCTGGCAGACCCCTCTAGGGGCCCTGTCCTTGCTCACTTCTCCACTGTCCTCCCGTGTCCGGTGGCCCCTTCTGGCACCCTGTCTGGTCTTTACCTCCCCTCGTTCTCTACGAACTTGGTGAGTGGTGCTGACCTGCAGGATGCGGGGGTTCACCAGTTCACTCCTGCGAGTCAGCGGGTGACCCACTGCACAGATGCTCGGACAGGCCGACACCTGGCCACGTTTACTCGTCGGCCGGGGTCGAGCGTGTACACACTGACCACTGCGTCTCCTCCAGTTGTTGAGCCTGGTAGGGTAGCTGCATCGGTGTTTGCTGCAGCGTCCAGGTCTGGTCCTGAGTCTGCCCCCTGTTTGTGTCGTCTCCTGTCTCACGAGACTCTCCTCTGGCACCACCGCCTTGGTCACCCCTCTCTGCTTCGGCTCAGAGGCATGGCCTCTCGTCTTCTTATTTCTGGTCTCCCCCGGTCCCTCCCTCCCCTTCCTCAGGGCCCTGGCCCTACCTGTGTCCCCTGTGTCGAGGGGCGCCAGCGTGCTGCCCCTCACTCCTCCCAGTTTCCTCCGACAGAGGCCCCGTTGCAGACGCTTCACATGGACGTGTGGGGCCCAGCCCGCGTCCGTGGACAGGGTCACGAGCGCTACTTCCTGCTAGTTGTTGACGACTACTCGCGTTACACCGCAGTCTTCCCCTTGCGCAGCAAGGGTGATGTCACTGAGGTGCTGATCGACTGGATCCGCGCAGCTTGTCTCCAGCTCAGGCAGAGCTTTGGCTCGGACTTTCCTGTTCTGCGTCTGCACTCGGATAGAGGCGGAGAGTTTTCCTCTGGCCTTCTGAGAGCCTACTCTCGCGCACGGGGCATCCGTCAGACCTTCACGCTTCCGGACTCTCCGCAGCAAAATGGGATTGCTGAGCGCCGCATTGGCATGGTCATGGACGTCGCTCGTACGTCTATGATGCATGCGGCTGCCCCCCATTTTTTGTGGCCGTTTGCAGTCAGGTACGCGGCGCATCAGATCAACCTTCACCCAAGGGTCTCCAGGCTGGAGACCTCCCCAGCCTTGCTGTGGACGGGGAAGGTTGGCGATGCGTCGGCGTTCCGGGTCTGGGGATCTCGGGCGTTTGTCCGCGACTTGTCTCCGGACATGCTGTCCCCTCGTGCTGCTCCTTGCGTCTTCCTGGGGTTCCCCCCTGTCGCGCCTGGGTGGCAGTTCTACCACCCCACCTCTCGCCGTGTTCTGACCTCCCAGGACGTCACGTTCGACGAGTCGGTCCCCTACTACCGCCTCTTCCCCTACCGCACTCCGTCCCTCCCCCCGCCCCCGCTCTTCCTTGTACCAGATCCCCCCCAGGTAGACCCCCTCCCCCCTCAGGGTCCTGCCCCTTAAGGTGTGTCCCAGGTAGATGCAGTCGAGCCTGTCGAGGTCACTGGTGACTCTGGTGCTGCTGAGGGTGCTGAGCGTGGGGGTGCTGTGCCTTGGGGTGCTGAGCCTGGGGGTGCTACGCCTCGGGGTGCTTTGCCTGGGGGTGCCGGGCTTGGGGGTGCTGAGTCTGGAGGTGCTCCGCCTGGAGGTTCTCCGGGTGCTTCGTCTCGCCGGGAGCCACTCTCTCCACAGGAGCTGCGCGAGTGGTTTGCTCGGCGCTGGAGCCGTGCAGCTGGTGCTGGAGGTTCTTCGGCTACTGGGGGTGCTGAGCCTAGGGGTGCTGAGCCTGGGGGTGCTGAGCCTGGGGGTGCTACGCTTGGGGGTGATAAGCCTGGGGGTGCTGAGCCTGGGGGTGCTGAGCTTGGGGGTGCTGAGCCTGGAGGTGCTCCGCCTGGAGGTTCTCTGGGTGCTACGTCTCGCCAAGAGCCACTCTCTCCACAGGAGCTGCGCGAGTGGTTTGCCCGGCGCTGGAGCCGTGCTGCTGGTGCTGGAGGTTCGTCGGCTACTGAGGGTGCTGCTGTCGCGGGTCCCGGAGGTGCTTGTCCTGGGAGTACTGGAGCTGCTGGGCCTGCAGGTTCGACTGGAGCTGGTGCTGCTGAGGGTGATGGCGCTGAGACTACCACTGGCGGTCCTGCTAGGGGTGCTCCTGTTGCTGCTGGAGGTTCTGGAGCTCCTGGAGGTGCTCTTGGAGCGGGTGCTCCTACTGGAGGTGCTGCTGAGAGTGTTGGCGCTGAGACTACCGCTGGCGGTCCTGCTGGGGGTGCTCCTGGTTATGGTGGAGGTTCTGGAGCTACTGGTGGTGCTGCTGGAGCGGGTGCTCCTGCTGAGGGTTCTGGTACTGTCCCTGCTGCTTCTGGCGTCGCCACGCGGCCTCGACCGTACTTTGTTCCACTCCTACAGCAAGTTCTTGGTCTTCCACCTTCTACTGGTCCTCCTCCTCCCTTAGAGTGTCCACAGCCTGTCCCGTCCCAGCTACAGTTGCAGCCTACCTCCCCTTTGCCTGCTCCTTCTCCCTACACTGGTCCTACTGGAGGTCTGGCTGAGCATCGTGAGCCTGCATCTCGCCCTGTGTCCCCTGTCCGTGCTACTCGCACTAGTGGTCGCGGTTCGCGTCAGCGTCCTCCTCCTGTCCCTGGCACGCACCGGATGTCTCTGCGTCCGTCCACTGCTCCTTTGCGTGCCCCTTTGCCTTCTCCTCCTGAGTCCTCTCTTCCTGCTCTTGCCGACCCCAAGTCGGACTCTCTTCGTGCTGCCAGTCCTACTGTCACGCGTCTCCTTGCTACTGTTGTCACTGACCCTTCTTTCGAGTCCAGCGCTGCGTCTGCCCTAGTTGCTGAGCTCGTCGACTTTGCTGCTCACTGTCGCCTAGACTACGCTGCTAGTCTTGTCGCTGAGTCTGAGTCTGTCTGTCCTCCGTCCGTCGGGGGTGAGTGTGCTCTTGGCACGGACGTCCTTGAGGACAGGCAGGAGGAGTTCCAGTGTCTGGCAGCCGCTTCACCTCATCTCATGTCCGTACAGCTTACCCCAGAGGGAGACCCGGATGCACTTGACATCCCGACTCCGCGCTCTTACGCGGAGGCGATAGAGGGTCCCTACTCCTCTCAGTGGCAGGCAGCTATGGATGCAGAGATGGCTTCCTGGAAGTCCACAGGCACCTACGTTGACGCTGTCCCCCCTCCTGGGGCGAACATCGTCAGTGGCATGTGGATCTTCAGGGTGAAGCGGCCGCCGGGTTCTCCGCCTGTCTTCAAGGCGCGTTACGTGGCTCGTGGCTTCAGTCAGCGGCAGGGAGTTGACTACTTTCAGACCTTCTCCTCCACCCCGAAGATGACCACTCTTCGGGTACTGCTCCACGTTGTTGCTCACCGTGACTACGAGCTGAACTCTCTTAACTTCAGCACAGCTTTCTTGCACGGCAGCCTGCACGAGGAGATCTGGCTGTGTCGCCCACTTGGCTTCACTGGGTCTTTCCCTCCTGGTACCCAGTGGAGTCTCCGGCGTCCAGTCTACGGTCTCCGCCAGGCGCCACGTGAGTGGCACGACACACTGAGGACTACGCTTGCGGCTCTTGGGTTTGCTCCTTCTATTGCCGACCCGTCGCTGTTTCTGCGCACCGACACCTCTCTGCCGCCGTTCTACATCCTCGTGTACGTCGACGACTTGGTCTTTGCCACAGCTGACACTGCTGGACACACCTACGTGAAGTCCGAGCTGCAGAAGAGACACACGTGCACAGACCTGGGTGAACTGCGCAGCTACCTTGGCTTGCAGATCACCCGGGACAGAGCACGCCGCACCATTACCCTGACTCAGTCACACATGGTGCAGCAGGTCCTTCAGCGCTTCGGCTTCACGTACTCCTCGCCTCAGGCCACTCCTCTGCCTACTCGCCACTCGCTCTCAGCTCTGCCTTTGGATGAGTCCGTAGAGTCGAGTGGCCCGTATCCAGAGCTTGTTGGCTGCCTCATGTACTTGATGACCTGCACACGACCTGACCTTGCATACCCTCTTAGCATTCTTGCACGCTATGTTGCTCCTGGGAGACACCGACGAGAGCACATGGCTGCAGCTAAGAGGGTGTTGCGCTCTTTGTGCAGTACGTCGGGCATGGGGCTAGTGCTTGGAGGGTGGAGACCAGTGGTCCTCAGTGGGCACGCAGACTCTTCTTGGGCTGACGACCAGGCTACGCAGCGGTCGTCACAGGGTTACACCTTCAGCCTTGGTTCCGGCTCTGTTTGGTGGCGGGCTACTCGCTCGTCTTCTGTTCTTGGCTCCAGTTGTGAGGCTGAGATCTACGCCGGGGCCATGGCTGCACAGGAGCTTCGCTGGCTCACCTACCTGCTGACCAACCTTGGAGAGCCGCCTCGTTCTCCTCCAGTCCTGTACGTAGACAACAAGGCCATGCTGGCCTTATGTCGAGAGCAGCGACTGGAGCACAGAACAATGCACATTGCTCTCCGCTACTTCCTTGCTCGTGAGCTACAGCAGCGTGGACAGTTGCGGATTGCGTACGTGGCCTCTGAGGCCAACACTGCTGATGTCTTCACCAAGACACTTGCGCCTTGTGATCATCAGCGCTTCTGCACTCAGCTGGGTCTTGTGCCCGTCTTGCCTCACTTGCTCTCCTCTTGACCTTGCTTGTACTCTCACATATATATATACCAGCTCTTGCTTGTCTAGCTTTATATATATGTGTGTACTCTTGCATGTGAACTGGCCGTGTGGCCTCGACCCTGTGCTCGGACTGTGTGGTGACTTTGTGATCCACCCTGAGCTTGCTTTGCTTTGCTTTGCTTTACTTGACTGGTCTTGTGACCCCTTGTTCTCCCCCACTTTGCCTATGGGGGTGTGCCAGAATGCTATATAGCTTATACATTTGTGTAGGCTATAGTGGGGTATCCCATAGGGGGTACAACCCAATTAGGGTTAGTACTTGTACTCACTCATTTCATAATTCATTCATTCTCGTTTCAATTCTCACACGTCCACGTCCATGTCCACGTCCACGTCCACGTCCACGTCCACGACCATGTCCACGTCCACGTCCACGTCCACGTCCACGTCCATGTCCACGTCCACGTCCACGACCATGTCCACGTCCACGTCCACGTCCACGTCCACGTCCATGTCCACGTCCAAGTCCTCCACGTCCACGACCACGTCCACGTCCATGTCCACGTCAATGTCACGACCACGTCCACGTCCACGTCCACGTCCTCCACGTCCACGTCCACGTCCTCCACGTCCACGTCCACGTCCACGTCCACGTCCACGACCACGTCCACGTCCACGACCACGTCCACGTCCACGTCCACGTCCACGTCCCTGTCCACGTCCACGTCCACGTCCACGTCCACGACCACGTCCACGTCCACGACCACCTCCACGACCACGTCCACGACCACGTCCACGTCCACGTCCACGTCTACGTCCACGTCCATGTCCATGTCCACGTCCACGTCCATGTCCACGTCCACGACCACGTCCACGTCCACGACCACGTCCACGACCAAGTCTACGACCACGTCCACGTCCACGTCCAGGTCCACGTCCACAACCACGTCCACGTCCACGACCACGACCACATCGACCATGTCCACGACCATGTCCACGACCACCACCACGTCCACGTCCACGACCACGTCCACGACCACGTCCACGTCCACGTCCACGTCCACGTCCATGTTCACGACCACGACCACGACCACGTCCACGACCACGACCACGTCCACGACCACGTCCACGTCCACGTCCACGTCCACGACCACGTCCACGACCACGACCACGTCCACGTCCACGTCCACGACCACGTCCACGTCCACGTCGACGTCCACGTCCACGTCCAGGTCCACGTCCACGTCCACGAACTCGTCCACGTCCACGTCCACGACCACGTCCACGTCCACGTCCACGTCCACGACCACCTCCACGACCACGTCCACGACCACCTCCACGTCCACGTCCACGACCACGTCCACGTCCACGTCCACGACCACGTCCACGTCCACGTCCACGTCCACGATCACGTCCACGTCCACGACCACGTCCACGACCACGACCACGTCTACGTCCACGACCACGACCACGTCCACGTCCACGTCCACGACCACGTCGACGTCCACGTCCACGACCACGACCACGTCCACGTCCACGTCCATGTCCACGTCCACGTCCACGTCCAGGTCCATGTCCATGTCCACGACCACGTCCACGTCCACGACCACGACCACGTCCATGACCACGACCAAGTCCACGTCCATGTCCACGTCCACGTCCTCGTCGGTCAGTATCGGAACTTAAAATGCAAATGCCAGGGAGAACGGAAGCGCTCAGATCTCGCATAGTACACAGAATCTAGTGGTCTCACTCAAATAGAAGGTAGGACATATATTCATCTAGTGAACGTAAGGGTTTGAAAGGTAACTAACGCACATGTGTAGAGAAAATGGTGCATCGGCCAGTCTGGCCAGCATTTCGCACTTATAGTGCAAGTAGGGCCAAGGAGAACGGAAACGTTCATTTCTCAAAAAGTAAAGGGAATCTAGTGGTCTCACTCGATCAGAAGGTGGGAAATATATAAATCTAGTGAGCTAATAAGGTTCAAAAGGTATCAAATGCACATTTATATGGAAAATAGTGCATTGGCCAGGTCGGTCAGTATGGGAACATAAAATGCAAATGCCAGGGAGAACGGAAGCACTCAGATCTCGCATAGTACACGGAATCAAGTGGTCTCACTGAAATCGAAGGTAGGAAATATATTCATCTAGTGAACGTAAGGGTTTGAAAGGTAACTAACGCACATGTGTAGAGAAAATGGTGCATCGGCCAGTCTGGCCAGCATTTCGCACTTATAGTGCAAGTAGGGCCAAGGAGAACGGAAACGCTCATTTCTCAAAAAGTCAAGGGAATCTAGCGGTCTCACTCGATCATAAGGTGAGAAATATATAAATCTAGTGAGCTAGTAAGGTTCAAAAGGTATCTAATGCACATTTATATGGAAAAAAGTGCATTGGCCAGGTCGGTCAGTATGGGAACTTAAAATGCAAATGCCAGGGAGAACGGAAGCGCTCAGATCTCGCATAGTACACGGAATCTAGTAGTCTCACTCAAATAGAAAGTAGGAAATATATTCATCTAAGGAACGTAAGGGTTTGAAAGGTAACTAACGTACATGTGTAGAGAAAATGGTGCATCGGCCAGTCTGGCCGGAATTTCGCACTTATAGTGCAAGTAGGGCCAGGGAGAACGGAAACGCTCGTTTTTCAAAACGAAGAGGGAATCTAGCGGTCTCACTCGATCATGTGGGAAATATATAAATCTAGTTAGCTAATAAGGTTCAAAAGGTATCTAATGCATATTTATATGGAAAATAGTGCATTGGCCAGGTCGGTCAGTATGGGAACTTAGAGTGCAAATGCCTAGGAGAACGGAACCGCTCAGATCTGGCATAGTACACGGAATCTAGTGGTCTCACTCAAATATAAGGTAGGAAATATATAAATCGAGTGAATGTAAGGTTTTGAAAGGTAACTAACGCACATGTGTAGAGAAAATGGTGCATCGGCCAGTCTGGCCGGCATTTTGCACTTATAGTGCAAGTAGGGCCAGGGAGAACGGAAACGCTCATTTCTCAAAAAGTAAAGGGAATCTAGCGGTCTCACTCAATCAAAAGGTGGGAAATATATAAATCTAGTGAGCTAATAAGGTTCGAAAGGAATCTAATGCATATTTATATGGAAAATAGTGCATTGGCCAGGTCGGTCAGTATCGGAACTTAAAATGCAAATGCATGGGAGAACGGAAGCGCTTAGATCTCGCATAGTACAAGGAATCAAGTGGTCTCGCTCAAATAGAAGGTAGGAAATATATTCATCTAGTGAACGTAATGGTTTGAAATGTAACTAAGGCACATGTGTAGAGAAAATGGTGCATCGGCTGTCTGGCCGGCATTTCGCACTTAAAGTGCAAGTAGGGCCAAGGAGAACGGGAACGCTCATTTCTCAAAAAGTAAAAGGAATCTAGTAGTCTCACTCGATCAGAAGGTGGAAAATATATAAATATAGTGAGCTAATAAGATTCCAAAGGAATCTAATGGATATATATATATGGAAAATGGTGCATTGGCCAGGTCGGTCAGTATGGGAACTTAGAGTGCAAATGCCTGGGAGAACGGAACCGCTCAGATCTTGCATAGTACACGGAATCTAGTGGTCTCACTCAAATATAATGTAGGAAATATATAAATCGAGTGAATGTAAGGTTTTGAAAGGTAACTAACGCACATATGTAGAGAAAATGGTGCATCGGCCAGTCTGGCCGGCATTTTGCACTTATAGTGCAAGTAGGGCCAGGGAGAACGGAAACGCTCATTTCTCAAAAAGTAAAGGGAATCTAGCGGTCTCACTCAATCAAAAGGTGGGAAATATATAAATCTAGTGAGCTAATAAGGTTCGAAAGGAATCTAATGCATATTTATATGGAAAATAGTGCACTGGCCAGGTCGGTCAGTATCGGAACTTAAAATGCAAATGCATGGGAGAACGGAAGCGCTCAGATCTCGCATAGTACACGGAATCAAGTGGTCTCGCTCAAATAGAAGGTAGGAAATATATTCATCTAGTGAACGTAATGGTTTGAAAGGTAACTAAGGCACATGTGTAGAGAAAATGGTGCATCGGCCAGTCTGGCCGGCATGTCGCACTTATAGTGCAAGTAGGGCCAAGGAGAACGGAAACGCTCATTTCTCAAAAAGTAAAAGGAATCTAGTAGTCTCACTCGATCAGAAGGTGGAAAATATATAAATATAGTCAGCTAATAAGGTTCCAAAAGAATCTAATGGATATATATATATGGAAAATGGTGCATTGGCCAGGTCGGTCAGTATGGGAACTTAGAGTGCAAATGCCTGGGAGAACGGAACCGCTCAGATCTCGCATAGTACACGGAATCTAGTGGTCTCACTCAAATATAATGTAGGAAATATATAAATCGAGTGAATGTAAGGTTTTGAAAGGTAACTAACGCACATGTGTAGAGAAAATGGTGCATCGGCCAGTCTGGCCGGCATTTTGCACTTATAGTGCAAGTAGGGCCAGGGAGAACGGAAACGCTCATTTCTCAAAAAGTAAAGGGAATCTAGCGGTCTCACTCGATCATAAGGTGGGAAATATATAAATCTAGTGAGCTTATAAGGTTCAAAAGGTATCTAATGCACATTTATATGGAAAATAGTGCATTGGCCAAGTCGGTCAGTATGGGAACTTAGAGTGCAAATGCCTGGGAGAACGGAACCGCTCAGATCACGCATAGTACACGGAATCTAGTGGTCTCACTCAAATATAATGTAGGAAATATATAAATCGAGTGAATGTAAGGTTTTGAAAGGTAACTAACGCACATGTGTAGAGAAAATGGTGCATCGGCCTGTCTGGCCGGCATTTCGCACCTATAGTGCAAGTAGGGCCAAGGAGAACGGAAACGCTCATTTCTCAAAAAGTAAAGGCAATCTAGCAGTCTCACTCGATCAGAAGGTGGGAAATATATAAATATAGTGAGCTAATAAGGTTCCAAAGGAATCTAATGGATATGTATACGGAAAATGGTGCATTGGCCAGGTCGGTCAGTATGGGAACTTAGAGTGCAAATGCCTGGGAGAACGGAACCACTTAGATCTCGCATAGTACACGGAATCTAGTGGTCAACTCAAATATAAGGTAGGAAATATATAAATCGAGTGAACGTAAGGGTTTGAAAGGTAACTAACGCACATGTGTAGAGAAAATGGTGCATCGGCCAGTGTGGCCGGCATTTTGCACTTATAGTGCAAGTAGGGCCAGGGAGAACGGAAACGCTCATTTCTCAAAAAGTAAAGGGAATCTAGCGGTCTCACTCGATCAGAAGGTGGGAAATATATAAGTCTAGTGAGCTAATAAGGTTCAAAAGGTATCAAATGCACATTTATATGGAAAATAGTGCATTGGCCAAGTCGGTCAGTATGGGAACTTAGAGTGCAAATGCCTGGGAGAACGGAACCGCTCAGATCTCGCATAGTACACGGAATCTAGTGGTCAACTCAAATATAAGGTAGGAAATATATAAATCGAGTGAACGTAAGGGTTTGAAAGGTAACTAACGCACATGTGTAGAGAAAATGGTGCATCGGCCAGTCTGGCCGGCATTTTGCACTTATAGTGCAAGTAGGGCCAGGGAGAACGGAAACGCTCATTTCTCAAAAAGTAAAGGGAATCTAGCGGTCTCACTCAATCAAAAGGTGGGAAATATATAAATCTAGTGAGCTAATAAGGTTCGAAAGGAATCTAATGCATATTTATATGGAAAATAGTGCATTGGCCAGGTCGGTCAGTATCGGAACTTAAAATGCAAATGCATGGGAGAACGGAAGCGCTCAGATCTCGCATAGTACACGGAATCAAGTGGTCTCGCTCAAATAGAAGGTAGGAAATATATTCATCTAGTGAACGTAATGGTTTGAAAGGTAACTAAGGCACATGTGTAGAGAAAATGGTGCATCGGCCAGTCTGGCCGGCATGTCGCACTTATAGTGCAAGTAGGGCCAAGGAGAACGGAAACGCTCATTTCTCAAAAAGTAAAAGGAATCTAGTAGTCTCACTCGATCAGAAGGTGGAAAATATATAAATATAGTGAGCTAATAAGGTTCCAAAAGAATCTAATGGATATATATATGGAAAATGGTGCATTGGCCAGGTCGGTCAGTATGGGAACTTAGAGTGCAAATGCCTGGGAGAACGGAACCGCTCAGATCTCGCATAGTACACGGAATCAAGTGGTCTCGCTCAAATAGAAGGTAGGAAATATATTCATCTAGTGAACGTAATGGTTTGAAAGGTAACTAAGGCACATGTGTAGAGAAAATGGTGCATCGGCCAGTCTGGCCGGCATGTCGCACTTATAGTGCAAGTAGGGCCAAGGAGAACGGAAACGCTCATTTCTCAAAAAGTAAAAGGAATCTAGTAGTCTCACTCGATCAGAAGGTGGAAAATATATAAATATAGTGAGCTAATAAGGTTCCAAAGGAATCTAATGGATATATATATATGGAAAATGGTGCATTGGCCAGGTCGGTCAGTATGGGAACTTAGAGTGCAAATGCCTGGGAGAACGGAACCGCTCAGATCTCGCATAGTACACGGAATCTAGTGGTCTCACTCAAATATAATGTAGGAAATATATAAATCGAGTGAATGTAAGGTTTTGAAAGGTAACTAACGCACATGTGTAGAGAAAATGGTGCATCGGCCAGTCTGGCCGGCATTTTGCACTTATAGTGCAAGTAGGGCAAGGGAGAACGGAAACGCTCATTTCTCAAAAAGTAAAGGGAATCTAGCGGTCTCACTCGATCATAAGGTGGGAAATATATAAATCTAGTGAGCTTATAAGGTTCAAAAGGTATCTAATGCACATTTATATGGAAAATAGTGCATTGGCCAAGTCGGTCAGTATGGGAACTTAGAGTGCAAATGCCTGGGAGAACGGAAC